GGTGTTGTCGTTGAGATGGGAATGGGCTGTGCAAAGAAAGCACCCCAGGCTCCTGTACCAAATGACCCAGACTGGTTGTATCTGCAAATTGAAGGCCTATAGGAATGTAGGTGGGTCCAAAGGTGGTCTCCAGAGTGCCTGGAGTTGGGGCCAGGAGCCAAGCAGGGCACAGATCAGATTGTTGCAGGGACATAGTTCATCCCATTACTTATGTAATCCCATCGCTTAAGACTGATGAACATGGCATTTTGTCCTGAGACAGACCAACTGAGCACAGCAAATGCCAACAGGAAGCCAATAAAATGGGCCTCGCGTCAGACAGGTTCACCTCAGATGATTTTAGACCTCCTTGTTGCCAGTGTGGGGAGGTGGGTTTAACTATCCAAATTGGAAACAACCTGAGATAAAGAATTTAACAAAAAAAATGCATACAGCATCAATCATTTGAAACATAAGTAAATCTACAGAAAACATATCACATTCTGGGTAAATCCCTTCCCTGCAAAAAGAACAACACTAAGATTCAAGATCCAGGCAGTTAAAATCTGGAATATAATGGTTGTGGAACTCTGGAATTTTTCTGAGTTCTGGACAAGGACCGGAAGCTCCCGAAGGTGCTGAGGCAGGGTGGGGAGGACAGGACACACACATAGAAGCAGCGCACACAAACCCCAGGAACGCACCAGGGCCAGGGCGCCCGGGGGTACAGGATAGACGTGGCTCATCTTCCCCAGAAGCCTGTTTTGCTCAGGATTAGTGAAAAGTAGGAAGTTGTAAGTGCTCACCATTAGTTCAATAACAGCTTTGCTTTGCAGGATGAGGAGGGAGGAAGCTACCTTAACAGCACATGCTGAACTCCAGCCCGATCCTAATTTCAAAAAGTTTAAACCATGAATACATACACATCGTAGGATTAAGAAAAGTAATTTGAAACATTTTAATATTAAAACAGACATGGGTGAAGATAGAGAGTAGAATGGCGGTTGCCAGGGCAGTGGGGGATGGGGAGTTGTTTAATGAGGACAGCTTCAGTCTGGGGAGGTGAAAAAGTTCAGGAGATGGATGGTGATGACCGTTTCACAACAATGTGGAGATACTTAATGCCCTTGAACTGAACACTTACCATGGTTAAAATGGTAAATGTTATGTCATTAAACTTTTTCTTTTTTTTTTTTTTTTTTTTTGAGACAGGATCTTGCTCTGTCACCCAGGCTGGAGTGCAGTGGTGTGATCATGGCTCACTGCAGCCTCGACCTCCCGGGGTCAAGCCATCCTTTGGCCTCAGCCTCCTGAGTAGCTGGGACTATAGCAGTGTGCCGCCACACCTGGTTAATATTTGTATTTTTTTGTAGAGATAGGGTCTCACTATGTTACGCAGGCTGGTCTCAAACTCCTGGGCTTGAATGATCCGCCCTCCTCAGCCTCCCAAAGTGCTAAGACTACAGCTGTGAGCAGCCATGCCTGGCCATGAATCTTTTATCACAATTTTTTAAAAAAGAAATGTATGAAGGCATAGGAAATAATTTTCTATAATTTTAAGATGTAAAAGATGAGATTTTCAGTCCATTCTGCTCAGGATCACATTCCCTCTCCCCATATTAGTGGGGAAGTTGGAGAATCCACAGTTTAAGGAGGCCTCAGGATCTTTTGCACAGAGCAGTCCTTTTAGCCACAAATTACTTAGTAGTTCCTGGAGTTTATTTATAACTCTGAACGATACGTTCCCCACACCACCATTTTTGCTAACAATGAGATCAGGAGTCTCAACTGCAAGGAAAAGAAGAATGGAATGGAGTGGGTGGGTCTAGGCAGGGTTGGGGCTGGGGGGAGGCCTTCAGCTCCTGTCACCAGGAGGCCCAGAGGGGAAGGGAGAGAGAGGCAGATGGCTTGGGGCTCTAACAGAAGGGCAGGGTCCTCTTGAGGTTGCTGTAAGCATCAAAGGGGCTCATGTGTGACGGAGGCAGGTCACAAGCTTTGCCCACCACACATCAGAGGCAAGAGGACTGGGATGAGTGTGTACTAGGTAGCCCTGGCTTTATGTTAGTATCTCAAGCATCATCACAAGCATCCTCATTTTACAGAGGACCACGCAGCGGCTCTGAAAGGTTGGGTAACTTGTCTAAGGTCACATGGCTCACAAGTCATGGAGCCAGAATTTGCATAGGGGGTAGCCTGGCCCCATCTCAGCCCTGGAGAGGCATTGAGCCCTGGTGTGCCTTCCCAAACAGGCAGCTGAGTGCTCCCAGGAAGACGGTGTTGGGCCGCTCAGCCCTCTCACTCACACCTCAGAGCAGCTTGGGGCCCTCCCATCCTCTCTAGGGTTCCCCACCCAGCCCCATCCTGGGCCCCAGTGTGTCCCCGAAGCACCAGCCAAGGAACAGCTGCCCAGTGTACCTTCTCTGTTCCACCCACTCACCACTCTCCATTTTCCTGTGTGCTCTTTAGGATTCAAGAAGGATAAGATTAGCGACCTTCAGCCTGGAAGTTGCCCCTGGCTTCTCTCTGGGCTGCTGACTGACTGGTACTAACCTTGAGGGGCAGAAGATGGGTTTTCCGTGACACTTCTGGGACACGCAGTGGCCTGATGGCCTGGGTTCACTGTGGCTCTTGCTGATTTTTGGCAGTGAGCACGGGGAGGCAGTTTCACTGAGCTGACCTACTGTGTGCTGGGCTATCATAGTACGATGTTGAGTAAGACGAGCTCCTGGCCTGCACCAGGTTCACCATCTAATACAGGAAAGCGACAAGGAGGCAAGCCATTAGGAGGTAGCACATGAGTGCTGGCACGTACCAGCAGTCCCAGCTATTTCGGAGGCTGAGGTGGGAGCATCGCTTGAGCCCAGGGGTTCAAGGCCAGCCCGGACAACGTAGTGAGATCCTGTCTCTTAAAAAATAAAAAAGGCTGAGTGCGGTGGCTCATGCCTGTAATGCTAGTACTTTGGGAGGCCGAGGCGGGTGGATCACCTGAGGTGAGGAGTTCAAGACCAGCCTGGTCAACATGGTGAATCCCCATCGCTACTAAAATGGGCATCATGGCAGGTGCCTGTAATCCCAGCTACTCAGGAGGCTGAGACGGGAGAATTCCTTGAACCTGGGAGACGGTGGTTGCAGTGAGCCGAGATTGTGGCACTGCACTCCAGCCTAGGCAGCTGAGCAAGACTCCGTCTCAAAAATAAAAATAAAAAAGAGGCAACTTTATTCTGTGAAAGTTGTGGAAACCAAGGGGAGAGAGGAGCACCTAGTACACCTTGGAGAGGGTCAGCCCAGTGTCCGTAAAAAAAAGCAACGTTTAGCTCAGATCTGAAGGATGGAGGAGGTGGCAGCAACGGGACAATCATCACTCCAGTGCTGGCTTTCTGAGTCCCAGGGCTTGTCTTTGTTGACCTACACCATTTTCTCAGGGAAGAATTCAGCGTACACGAAATTCATGTATACCACTGTGCTCCTAACCTGCCTCAGAGGGAACATGTGCTTCTTGATGTTGTGAGCGATATGTACTTTCTAGTGTAGTCTTTTTTTTTTTTTTTTTTTTACTTGGCATGATTTCATATTTACATTTTCCTGCATAATGACATTTTCTATACACTTGTCATTTTTAATAGCACTATAATTTTCCATCACGTTGACATCCTATAATTTGCCTTGTTATTTCTCGGTTGCTGAGCGTTTGGGGAGTTTCCGGTTTTTCTTCACAAATGGCACCATGTTATCTTTAGAGAAGTTCATTTTTCCCCTTTATATTCTCGGATTTATTTCCCAGCGAAATCACCCATTGGAGCAGGAGCGGTGGTGCTGCTCTTGTTACATAGCGCCAAACGACATTTCAGAAAGAACAAGCTGATGCGGGCTGTGCCGGCATTGCTGTTCCTCCACCACGTCCGACCCTGGGGCTTAAAATATTTAAACTTTTTTTTCCAAGTTAAAAAATCTTGGCCGGGTGCAGTGGCTCACACCACTAATTCTACACTGTGGGAGGCTGAAGTGGATAGATACTTGAGGCCAGGAGCTCCAGACCAGCCTGGGCCAACATGGCAAAACCCATCCCTACTAACAATATGAAAATTACCTGTGCCTGGTGGTGCACGCCTGTAGTCCCAGCTTCTCAGGAGCCTGAGGCAGGAGAATCGCTTGAACCTGGGAGGCGGAGGCTGCAGTGAGCCAGGATCGTGCCACTGCACTCCAGCCTGGGTGACAGAGCAAGGCTCCGTCTCAAAAAAAAAAAAAGAAAAAATCTTAAATATATACTTTAAAACATTGTCTTTTTTTGCTTTAATTCATTGTTAAAAATAATGTGACACTGAGGGCAAATATTTAAAAGAAAAAAAAAGTCTCCTCTAGTACCTCTCCAACATACTTTGGTTTTTGTTGTTCCTGCACATCTGCATGCATTATTATTATTATTATTATTATTATTATTATTATTATTATTATTTTGAGATGGAGTTTCCCTCTTGTCAGCCCAGGCTGGAGTGCAGTGGCACAATCTTGGCTTACTGCAACCTCTGCCTCCTGGGCTCAAGTGATTCTCCTGTTTCAGCCTCCCAAGTAGCTGGGATTACAGGCACCTGCCACCATGCCCAGCTTTTTTTTTTTTTTTTAAATAGAAACGGGGTTTCATTATGTTGGACAGGCCTGTCTTGAACTCCTGGCCTCAGGTAATCTGCTAGCCTCGGCCTCCCAATGTGCTGCAGTTACAGGCATGAGCCACCGTGCCTGACCACCTCCCTCGCTTTCTGAGTTTCCTTGTTTCTTTGCCCACTCAACGCCCATTGAGCATTGCTTAGTAGTGTTTGGCGTTCACATCCCTTTAGCTGAGACAGGGTCACCCCCATTCTGGCCCCCAGCCCTGAGCACAGCGCCTGGCACCCAGCAGGCATCCAGTCCAGCTTTCAAGGTGGTTTTGTTCTGCAAGCACTGGCTTGAGCAGATCCTTCTGGATTGACCAGGTGGGACCCTGTGGAACCCATACGCCCCAGGTGAACCACGCCAGTGTCCAGGGGAGTGACCATCTTACTTTTCTCCCTCAGGACTTCCTGGGCAGATACCCAGTCTCCAGGCACTCCTGGGTGGGGGCCTGGCGAGGCCCCCAGGGCTGGCACTGGATTGACGAGGCCCCTCTGCCACCCCAGCTGTGAGTGACCATGGGCTTTTCTCCCTCTGCTGTTCTGGATCCTCCATTTGTCCAGGGTCCACCTCCTTGCTGCTCCCCTAACCTGGAATGCCACTCAGAAAGCAACCCACGCCCATGCTCACGGCCTGGTGCCTGATGAGTCCCTGTCACTTCACTCCTTCCTTATTTGGGTTCCCAGCACGTTCACCCAAGCAGGGTTGTCACCCCCGTTTTACAGATGCGGGTTCAGCTGCCCAGGGAGGTTTGGGAATTCATGCAGTGCCATGTGGCTGACCAGTGCAGTGACTCACTCAGTGCGCAGGCCGGTAGAGGTGACAGGCACACAGGCTAGAGGGTCTGTCTGGGAAGCGAGGCCCCGGCACCCTAAACACCTCTCCTCTTTCCCCTCCCACCCTTCCCCAGACTCCCTGAGGACGGCAAGGACAACCCGGATATCAACTGCGGGGCCCTGGAGGAAGGCACTCTGGTGGCTGCAAACTGCAGCACTCCAAGACCCTGGGTCTGTGCCAAGGGGACCCAGTGATCTGGGCTCTGCCTGTCCTCAGCCTGCCAGGCGGATGCAGCACCCCTACAGGGGAGGCCAGCTAAGAGCTTGGGCAGCCTCTTCCTGGACCCAGGCATCCAGGTCTCCCTGCTCTGTTCAAGGGGGCACACACGAGCGAGTCTAGGAGCTGGACTTCAACCCAGGAAGATGCATCCGAGGGAAAGGAGATTTTCTGTGGCCTCAGGCCCGAGTGCCAATATTAGTCTCCAGCTTCTGTGGATGATTCGTTTGATGACATTGGGATGGTTGTTTAGCATGTCTGTGCCTTGGTTTCATTAAAATGACAATTTCTCCCTAGAGGAAAAAGACAGGGTTAGCAACCACAGCTGATTCCAATCTGGGTTCTCATTCCGACGCATGGAAACGAGTCTGCTGTTGTTCGGTGGCAGTGGGACTCGGCAGGGATAACGTCATTGCTGTGAATTCTATTCCAGGCAGCTGCGTGTACGTCGGACACAGCCTACCGGCAGCCTCTGTGGAAAATTAACCAAGGAAAAGGAGCGGTCAGGCCTGGGAGGAGGGGGGAGAGAGGTTTTCTTTCCCCGCCCTGAGAGTTGTCAAAGGTTGGCAGACAGGAAGGTTCTGGGTGGAGATCCCACATGTGGGCTGGCCGGCCCCTGGCAAGTTGATGCCCAAGGGTAAGACAAGACAGAGAGGACAGGGCCACCTGGCAGGAGAAGCCAGGAGAGCACCCCAGCTTGGTAAGTGGAAGCTGAGAAGTCTGAGTGAGAAAGGAAATCAGAGAAATGGGGGCAGGTTCCAGGCAGCTCTTCCACCCACAGCTGCAGAGACGACCAGCCTGAAGAAGTCTCTGTGCTGGGGTGCAGTGAAGACCTTCAGGCAGGAGGAAGTGGCTGACAGAGTTGTGTAGTCCCTTGAGTCCAGCTAGATCTCCAAACAGCAGGAGCCTGGGCCTGCGTCTTAGCTTGGTGCTGAGCACGCACTCAACTGGCCCTTGCAAGCCAGCCTTCCCTCTAAAGTCAGACCACGCACCGAGATCCCTCCTAAACAAATCCTTATTGGTGCATCTGAGCCAGTAATGGGCTGTCTGGGAGAATGGGATGGAGAGTCCTAGATGGAAGAAATTTCTCACACTCTTTTTTAAAATTAGTATTATTATACTTTAAGTTCTGGGGTACATGTGCAGAACGTGCAGATTTGTTGCATAGGTATATACGTGCCATGGTGGTTTGCTGCACCCATTAACCTGTCATCTACGTTAGAAATTTTTCCTAATGCTATCCGTCCCCCAGCCCCGCACTTCTCACACTCTTGAGATGTAACAACAAAAAGGGAAATGGAGACCAGGTGCGGTGGCTCATGCCTGTAATCCCAGCACTTTGGGAGGCTGAGGTGGGCGAATCACAAGGTCAAGAGTTCGAGACCAGCCTGGCCAACATGGTGAAACCCCATCTCTACTAAAAACACAAAAAACTAGCTGGGCATGGTGGTGGGCGCCTATAATCCCACCTACTCAGGAGGTGGGGACAGGAGAGTTGCTTGAACCCAGAAGGCAGAGGTTGCAGTGAGCCAAGATTACACCACTGCACTCCAACATGGGCGACAGTGCAAGACTCTGTCTCAAAAAAAAAAAAAAAAAAAAAGGGAAATGGAAATTCCCTGGCTGGAGGTGAAATGGGTGGCTTGGGTGGGGCAGACACCAATCAGAATACATCCTATGTGAGCAAGAAGCTGTGTATGTTACCACTCCCACCCCCTGCCGTATGTTCCCAGGGTCTGTGCCTGGAGAAATGACACATCTGTAGGTTATGAGTATACAAAACCTTATCTAGCCTTCTCAGTACCTTTTAGAGAAGGGAAGTGTTGTACTTAAAGTTACCCAGCTAGAAAGTGCAAGGTCTAGAATGGAACCCACTTGCTGTCTGACTCCAAAGGCCATACTCTCCATCCCAGCACACAGTAGAGGAATCTAGAAAGGTATTAGTGGCAGCCGAGTGGGAAGCCATCAGGTGGAGTGAGGGAGAAAGGAGGTACCAAGTTACTTCACACTTGTGATAATCCACACCCTCGGTTATCTGTTGCTTTATAACAATTTTTTTTTTTTTTTTTTTTGAGACAGAGTCTCGCTCTGATGCCCAGGCTGGAGTGCAGTGTCATAATCTCAGCTCACTGCAACCTCTGCCTCCCAGGTTCAAGTGATTCTCCTGCCTCAGCCTCCTGAGTATCTGGGACTATAGGCATCCACCACCATGCCCAGCTAATTTTTGTATTTTTAGTAGAGATGGGGTTTCGCCATGTTGGCCAGGCTGGTCTCGAACTCTTGACCTCAGGTGATCTGCCCGCCTTGGCCTCCCGAAGTGCTGGGATTACAGGAGTGAGCCACAGTGCATGGCCTGCTTTATAACAAATTGTTCCCAAACTTAGCAACAACTATTTGCCCCAGACGACTATTTTCCTCCCCCTCATTCTGTGGATTGACCAGGCAGTTCTGCTTTAGATGGTATTGGATGGAGTGCTGGAATGGCTGGAAAGTCCAAAATGGCCTCACTTGCTCAGCCAGCAATGTGGTGCAGGCTCCTAGCTGGGGACCTTAGTTCTTAGTTCTCCTGTACCTGCGGCTCTCCACGTGGCTGCTTGAGCTTCCTCATAGCATGGCAGATGGATTACAAGAAGGAGCATTCCCAAATAAAGGACAGCATAAGCTGGATCTCTGGAGGGCCAGCCTCAGAAATCACCCAGTGTCACATGGGCCACATTTTATTGGTTACAGGGACAGCCAGTTTGAAGGGGAAGAGAAATATGTCTTTATGCTGTATCCAGTGCTAGAGTGCTAGCCCTTGCTACCTGCTCTCCCAGCCCCAGTGCTCAGGGCAGCACTGGCAGAACTGAAGTACTTGCAGAGTTAAAAACAGCAACATCCAAGAAAATCATTAAGTTTTAAAACTGTCTCCCATCCCAGTAGGTATAGCTTAAAAAGTAATAATAAAAATAAAACTGATTGTGTCTGAAATATTTCACAATTTAAAAATGGCTTTGTGCCGGGCTCAGTGGCTCACGCCTGTAATCCCAGCACTTTGGGAGGCCAAGGTGGGCGGATCATGAGGTCAAGTGTTTGAGACCAGCCTGGCCAACATGGTGAAACCCCATCTCTACTAAAAATACAAAAATTAGCCAGGCATGGTAGCGCACCCCTGTAATCCCAGCTACCCAGGAGGCCAAGGCAGGAGAATCACTTGAACCCGGGAGGTGGAGGTTGCAGTGAGGCAAAATCGCACCATTGCACCCCAACCAGAGTGACAGTGAGACTCCATTTCAAAACAAAAAAAAATTGTTAATAGAATTTTAAAAGTCAAGAATAAGGATATAAAGAAAATATTTTTGTACAGGTGTATAATATTTGTGTTTTAAGCTAAGTGTTATTACAAAAAAAGTCAAAAAGTTAAAAAAATTATGAAGTTACAGTAAGCTAATATTTATTATTGAAAGAAAATTACTTTTCATAAATTTAGTATAGCCTAAGTGTGCAGTGTTTATAAAGTCTCCAACAGTGTGTAATGTCCTAAACCTTCACAGTCACTCCCCACTCACCCAGAACAACTTCCAGTCCTGTAAATGCCCCATACAAGTGTACCGTTTTTTATTTTATTTTTTTTTTTGAGGCGGAGCCTCACTCTGTCCCCCAGGCTGGAGTGCAGTGGCACAATCTCTGCTCACTGCAACCTCTGCCTCCCAGGTTCAAGTGATTCGCCTGCCTCAGCCTCCCGAGTAGCTGGAATTATAGATGCCTGCCAACGTGCCGGGCTAATTTCTGTATTTTTGGTAGAGACGGGGTTTCACCATGTTGGCCAGGCTGGTCTTGAACTCCTGACCTCAGATGATCCGCCCACCTCTGCCTCCCAGGGTGCTGGGATTACAGGCATGAGTCACCACACCCAGCAATTTTTGTTTTTGCTTTTTTTTTTTTTGAGACAGAGCCTTCCTTCTGTCGCCCAGTCTGGAAGGCAGTGATGCCATCTCGGCTCACTGCAACCTCCACCTCCTGGGTTCAAGCAATTCTCTGCCTCAGCCTCCCGAATAGCTGAGATTACAGGTGCTCGCCACCATGCCTGGATAATTTTTGTATTTTTAGTAGAGATGGGGTTTCACCATCTTGACCAGGCTGGTCTTGAACTCCTGACCTTGTGATCCACCCGCCTCAGACTCCCAAAGTGCTGGTATTACAGGCGTGAGCCACTGTGCCCAGTCAATTTTTTTTTAATTTAATTTTTAAACAGCGGCCATGCTAATCTCTGTATTGTTCCAATTTTAGTATGTGTGCTACTGAAGAAAGCACTATTTCTCTGTTTTTAAAATTTATTTTATTTTGTTTTATTTTATTTTATTATTATTATTTTTTTTTTTTGGAGAAGGAGTCTTGCTCTGTCGCCCAGGCTGGAGTACAGTGGCGCAATCTCGGTTCACTGCAACCTCCGCCTCCCGGGTTCAAGCAATCCTCCTGCCTCAGCCTTGAGTAGCTGGGATTACAGGCGTGAGCCACTGTACCCAGCCTATTTCTCTTTTACACCGTATTTTACTGTAATTTTTCTATGTTTAGATACACAAATACTTACCATTGTGTTACAGCTGCCAACAGTATTCAGTGCAGTATATTGAAGTCAAAATTAAAATATAGAGATGAATCCCTAAATTTCTCATGTTATTTGGGATACCAGAATTGTAACTTCGGGCATACACACAGACTGACTGGTCTTCAATATGTCCAAAGAACAAAGAGGAGGTTTTATAAAAAGGAGAAATGTTGGCCAGGTGTGGTGGCTCACACCTGTAATCACAGGACTTTGGGAGGCAGAGGCAGGAGGATTGCTTGCGCCCAGGAGTTTGAGACCAGCCTGGACAACATGGTGAGACCCCATCTCTACAAAAAAATAAAAAATAAGCTGGGTGTGGTGGCCCCCAGCCTGTAGTCCAACTGCTTGGGAGGCTGAAGATGGAGGATCGCTTGAGCCTAGGAGGTTGAGGCTGCAGTGAGCCATGATTGTACCCCTGCACTCCAGCCTGAGTAACAGCCAGACCTGTCTGTCCGACAAGAAGAGAAAGGAGAAATGCTATGCATTGTTTTTCCAGAAAGTCCATTGGCACTAGTAGAGTGTTGGGGAGCTGGCACGCTCTGACTGGTAAGTGGCTTCAGTAGGTAAAACTAGATTTAGAGCAGTAGCAGGAGGTTTCAGAAGCCATTAGATAAAACTGGTTTCAGGTGAGAGCAGGCCGTTTTGGCCGCCAGGCTTGCAGAGAATTGCATTCTGGGACCTGTGTTATGTGCTCTAAGAGCTTTTTCCCCCTAGCTTCTCAACTGTTTTAATTG